GTGGCTGCAGCAGCAACACCTCCAGCCTTGAACTGAATGGGAGCAGTAATGGTTCCTCTGGTCCTAGTCTGTGTGGCTGCTGCTGCAGCAGTAGAGCCTCCCTCTGGGGTGACGAGGACAGTGTGGCTGGAGATGTTGCTGCAAGGGGTCCCAAAGCCAGGTAATATTTGCTGTTCTTCCCAGACACTCCCTCCCAATCTCCTCAATTCCCTTTTCCCCCGGCAGCCAGCACCCCCAGCTTGCACTGGCACCCTCCTTTTTTCTTGCACCCTGTCTCCTGACCAGACACTGCACCTTCCCCCAGGCCAGACACCTGCCTCCTTCTGCATCCTAGATCCTTCTTCAAGTCCCCAACCCTTTCTTGAGCCCCTGTCACGTTATTGGATTTTAAGGTGAGCATACTCATCTTAAGATCGTTGCTGTACTCACGAGAAACTGTTTGCCCCAAATTTTGTACAGAGTGGGCCATGCGAGGTGTCAAATGATATTGTGCTGATTCTATGTGTGGTATTCATGTACTTGTTTGGAGTTTGTATGGGAAGTTAAGACTATGGGCTCTGCTGACGCTTCATATGGACTGCCTGTCATGAGGAAGGAATGTGCAATGAGTTACTATGCTAATGCGTATGGCTCCAAGGACAATGGTTCTCAGGGTGGCCAATACACAGCTGAGGAATGCGTGTGGAAAGCTGCAAAGCAGCCAGGGCACAATGGCTGCTGGCATATGAAACAGATCACTTGACCATATGACTATCTCCAGCTTGGGAGACACCAGAAATGAATATCAGATGTCATGAGGGGGGCTCCATCTTGTCTTCAGTCTTGCTACTTATCCCAGATGCAGCCTTGCTAAGGACAGAGACACGGAAAGGATTTCTGACCCATCCTGATATACAATGTATGCCAAAGACTTTTATGCTAGCAGTTTGTAACATCTCTGCTAAGATCCTGCATCAAGAACTTGCTGATTGATGTATACAATGTATTCTCCTTAATAGCCTTACTCTCAACCTTTTCTTTCTTTTATTAATAAACCTTTCGATTCTAAAGGATTGGTCCACTGTGATCTTGTGGGTAAGATGGAAAGTATAAATTGACCAGGGATTCATGCCTGGTTCTTTGGAACCAGGTGGATCTGTTCTGGGTTGGAGAGATTGGGCTGTATAACCCCTCACCTGTGTGTAAGCCCAGGGCTGAGTGTGGCACAGGAAGAGCTGGGGTATCTGAGGGGTTTTGCTCATGAGGCTTCCTGCAGGCTGGATTGGCAGCTGAAGTACTCAGTGTGAGTGGTTTGTGGCCTGTTTTGGAAAGGTCTCCAGTCAAGGGCTGTCAGCAATTTCCCCTGAGTGGATTCCTTCAGCGGTGCTCAGGCCTGGTCTGGCCCAGCCGGGCTAATCACAGCCCTGCCCTCTCCAAGCCTTCTGTAGATTACTGTTGCTGATGGAAACTCACTGTTAATTACATAATTAGTCAAGCCATTTTGCTAGGACTGCATCTGGGCAGTTGCGTTTAAATTATTAAAGAGATTAAACCTTTTAACTTTCTCATGTTAGTTGATCAAAAAGGCAATGCTGAAACATGCTGTGTTTGACATAATATTTTATTGAAAAATGAAGCCTGGCCAAAGACTGAACCGTACACAGTGCGTCCTGCATCAGAAGCGAGCTTCCTAAGCAAGTTGAGCATGAAACCACAATGCTGTTAAACAAACAAACAAAATCGCAGTGCTTGTAATTTATCTGGTCAAGCAGAGATTACCATTTAAGGATAAAGTGCCTTCTGTTCTCTTTTCTCTGTAAATTTCCACTGTGACTTTGTAAGAAGGTATAAATATCTCAGGCATTTGAGTGTGAGGAAGGGGCTTGTATTGGTAAGGGGTGACTCCCTGCCATCTGTGACAACCCCCTCCCCCACAGCTGGGTTATTAATTTGGTTTTGTCTGTCTTGAACCCTAAAGCTAGCGTGTGTTTATTTCATGACAGCTGGGAGCAGCCGAAGCCAAGAGCCCTGTTCTACTGTGTCAACAATCTCTGAGGTAGCATAAAATCCCCTCTCCAGTTTCTAACCCTGAAATATGATGAAATGACATCTTTATGATGTCATTCCTGGCCTCTTGATACAGCCTTTGAACTCTGACTGCAGAGATATGTCTACACTGGCGGGTTCTTGTGCAAGAATCCGCAGAGCATCCACGCTGCCTGCCTGCTCTTGTGCAAGAAGATTTAAAGTACGGCGTGGTAAGAGAGGGCTTCTTGTGCAAGAGCTATGCTCTTTTTTTAACAGGTGTAAGCCCTCTTGCACAGGGGCTCTTGCACAAGAGGGCAGTGTGGACGCTTGGCAGGGGTTTCTTGCGCAAGAAAGCCCTATGGCTAAAATGGCCATTGGAAAGTTCTTGCACAAGAGAGCATCCACACCGCCATGGATGCACTTGCACAAAAGCACAGCTCACACATGGCAGTGTGGACGTGTTCTTGCACAAAACTTCTTGCACAAGAACCCAAAAGTGTAGACATAGCCCACGTTTGCTTACCAGAGATGCCAAAATAAACTAAGCCATCTCGAGAAAGGCTTCTGCCAAAGCCAGGGATTGAACCAGGACCCTTCAAATCTTCAGTCTAACACTCTCTCAACTGAGCTACTTTGGCAAGTGGTTGCAGCTTTCTAAGGCCAACGCTTCTCTCAGGCACGTTTTTTTCTGTGGCAGTATACAAGAGAGATGCTGCTCTCTGTGGCCCTGCAAGGCAAGATGAGTTTTGCCTGCCCCCCTCAGCCTGACTCGCACTTGGCCCCGTTCCTGCTGCTTTTCTCAGGGTGTCCCAGTGGCTAAAAGGACTGCGGCTGCCAATGGGTGGGGGGAGTTTCCTGCCACTAGTGAGGTCGTTTGCGCTTGTGCAGATGTGTGCTACTGTGGTACCCACCAGTTACTCACAAAGAGCTTAGCTAAATATAGTTTTATAATTTGATAGAAGAAAAAATTCTGAAACAAGGGATAGTTAACAAGGTACATGACTTCATATATTTAGTATGAAATCAAATAAAAAGAACATTAACACTGCAACACATTCCATAGCTATTTGGTATCTTACAGGGATTGTTCCTTTGAGGCATAAAACAAAATTGTCCATCTTCTTGATTTAGCAAACAAGCGGAGATTTAAATATCCCCTGCTTCATTAGCAAGATCTCGCCTGGCTCGCTAGACCAAATCACAGCTGATTTGAACCAGTAAGTGCGTGCCTGGACATGGTAGTTCAAACCAAAGCCCTTGGTTTGAACTAATGTTACTCCTCACTTTTTGAGTCCAAGGTGTTGTCCTGGACCATAAACCAGAACAGCCCTGTCTAGGGAAGGCACCATGGCTTAGCTGGTTAAAGCACCTGCCTTGTGAATAACAGATCTAGGATGCAACTCTCAGTGGTACCTTGTTGTAGTCTTTGTTCATATTTTCCAAAGTCCTTCTGAAACACAGAAGAGACCTCCCCTGGCCACCCATAGAACTGCTGGTTCAGGAAAAGTGTCTCCAAAACTGTTCTAATTTATGGTCCCAGACAACACCTTTCAATTCCAAAGTGCAGCCATTCCCCATCAGTCTGGGAGGGATCTCAAGGCCTGTGCAGCCCAAGATATGTGATTGGTAGGTCATACCCACAATCTTTTTGTCAATTGCAGTGCAACCTAAGGATAACTTGCTAAGCACATGCTACAGTCTGCCACTCTACCAGCTGAGCTATCGAAGGGTGCCCAAGTGCCACTGATTTGTCCATGTTGGCCCATCTACAAGTGTCAGGGCAAGTCCTCCCCCAAGTGGATGGCATCGCAGCCGAGGGGCAGAAGAACCCAGGAGCACAGGGGTGCTTCCCATGAAGAAGGATCCTGAGCTAGATCCATTCATGTCACAGCAAAAGTAAAATAGTTGGCTGCTTCTCCTGGGTCTTTTTTAGTTTCAATGTCTCTAGGGGTGCAGGAGGAGCAGATCCACAAAAAAAAACAACAACTGGATTGAGTGAATCTTGGGCCAGCTTCTCACTTGTGCTGCTCACTCTCCCAGACTGTTCCTAGGCCCAAGACAATAGCTCCACACTCAGTGGATGGGTTAGCAGAGGCCAGGGAGCAATAGGCAGAGCCTGGCAGCTGCTGGGACCAGACCTGAGGGCATCAGAGGAAGCAGCAAGAAACACAAACTCAGCCCCCTGCATTTCTAGCCTGGCTGGTGGGTTTCATGGCCCCAGCTCACCTGAGCCAGCCGGATGAGAGACCAAATGCCAGTGAGCACCAGACACCCAGCAGAAGGCACAAAAATCTCTTCTCACCAGCCTGAGGACAAGAAATCTAAAGCAGGAGGGTTTTGCAACAACCAGCGTAGGAAAATCCCACTGACAGTTCAACTCAGGAGGGTTTTGCAACAACCAGCCTAGGAAAATCCCACTGACAGTTGAACTCAGGTTGCAAAGTTCAGAGCCCTGAGTGCTGCCCCTTGCAGCATGGGACAAACAGCTGATGTTTTTGGTTGGCACCTGGGACTCTCAGCTCTCAGGCTGCCTCTGCTCTCCCGGCTCCCTCTAGCTGCCTCATCCTAGCTGCTTGTTTAATTTTTTGTTTTTACTTAAGTACCAGCTCTAGTAGAAGCCGTGTGACACTCTCCCCTCCCCCATCACAGCATGGACAGGTCACCACCCCCAACCAGACTCTAAAATGGCCCCCTGCATTCCCCCTGGCCCCATGGGGCTGGCAGGAAAGAGGCCCAGGGCCAGGCTAGAGCCAGGGGAAGCAGAAGGCAGGGAGATCTCCAGTCTACCCCACTCCTTTTTGTGCAAAAGCCTCTTGTGCAAAAATGGACCCCAATTTATTATGCAAATGAGCATGGCAATATGCTAATCTGTGCTACATTTGCATGAGCTTTTGGGGAAGAGACATGCAGAATGGAGATAGCCTAGGTGGTGGATAGTGAAGTGACATAGACTGAGGAAAAATCCCTGGGCTGCAATCCTTAGTTACACACAATAAGAATAATTCACCAGCTCAGACGTGATTTCTAAACCCCCAAACAAGGAAAATAATAAAACCTGGTGGACTAGGGCAGTGGTCCCCAATGTGGTGCCCACGGGTGCCATGGCACCTGCTGGGCCATTTATGTGCGCCTGTGGAGCAATCTGGGCTGGCCCTGCCCTCGGGTATGCGGCAGGTGCCAGCCCCAGGAGCATGGGCGGCCCCAGCCCCGTGGTTGCAGCACATGCTGGTGCCGGCCCCAGGTACACGGCGCCTGGAAAGCCCCTGCCTGGGGTCACGGCACATGCCGGTGCTGGCCCTGGCCCTGGAGTCACGGCACAATGCGGTGCCAGCCCCGTGTGCATGGCGCATGCTTGGCCCTGCCCCCAGGCATGTGGCCCATGAGCGGCACCGCCCCTGGACATGTGGTACGTGAGCGGCCCCACCCCCAGGTGCACGGCAGCCCCAAAAGGTTGGAGACCACTGGACTAGGGAGACTTTTCCCTACCCACACATTGCAAGAGGTCCAATCCTCTGCAAGTCAAGACTGTGTGGCCTAACGGATGAGGCGTCTGACTACGGATCAGAAGGTTTGAGTCCCTTCACGGTTGCATTTACCTTGCTTTGTCTGTGCTCATGGGTCCTGATGTTGCTGCCCTGGAAAGGTCCTATGTGACAACGTGGTTTTTCTATAACCCCATTGGAAGGCCTGTAGCTGTTCAGTAGGTCTAAACTAGTGGGGATATTGCTGGGGTTACTGGCTGGTGGTGGCAGCAGGGCAGCCTAAGACCAGAACAGCCAGGACACCTCTGCACAGCTGTTGAAATGGTTTGCTGTGTGAATTCTGTGGGGCAGGTGACCTTAGGCTTGTGCACTGGGATTATTTACCAGTTTCCCTGGCTTGCTACTGCTTACAGCTGTGATGGCTGAGTATACTTGAAATCCAGTAGGGTTTCCCTATGCAGGTTCAAATCCTGCTCACAGCAGGTCTGTGTTTCCGCCACACCCCTTCCTAGGGCAACAAGGGCCTCTGTGAGTTACCAGCAGTGCGGGTGTTAGTGTCTGCATATAACTTACTGCACCATTAGGCCCTGTCTTCACTCAGGTGGAGATTTCTGATGCAATCCCTCTCTGGGGTTATGTCTACGCTGCAGGCTTTCTGTGCAAAAACTTACAGGGCATCTACACTTCTGTAAGTAAATTTACAGTACAGCAAACAGGGCCTCTTCCAGAACAGTTATTCTTCTCCCCATGAGGAATAAACCCTCTTGTGCATGTGCAAGAGCTCTTGAACAAGAGGGCAGTGCAGACGGCCAACATGAATTTCTTGCTCAAGAAGCCCCTATGGTTAAATGGCCATCAGAGCTTTCTTGTGCAAGGGAGCCATAGATGATCTTGCGCAAAAAGCACATCTCTTGCACAAAAGCTCATGGCAGTGTGGACACGCTCTTGTGCAAGACCTTTTGCACAGGAACTCTTCCGCAAAAGAGTTGTTGCACAGGAAGCGTTGTTGCACAAGAAGCTGCCAGTGGATACTCTACCTTGACTTAGAGTCTACAAACAGCTTGAGTCTACAAACAGCAGTGGAATTAACTCAAGTGGCCGAGCGCTTGTTTAGCAGGTGAAAAGAAGTGGGATTGATACCCATGTTTTCCAGTAACCTGTAGTTTACTTTTTTTTTTCAAGCTGAGGGTCAAGTGCCTGCAGTGGTCCCTCCCTCTTCCTACTCACTCACCCCAAAACCCAGCCATGGCTTAGCTCCAAATCTGTAAACCTCATTGCCTGAGGGATAACACCTCTTCTGAAATAGCTATTTTGCAATAGCCGGAGTGTGGATGCTCCACCGCAGCTATTTTGAAATAGCTCCTCCCCAGGGCCATTCAAAGTAATCACTGCCCAGTGCCTCCTGGGGCTCTAAGTTGAGGCTTCCCTGCAGTGTGGATGTGCTACTTTGAAACAAGCTATTAAAAAACAAGCGCACTGTGTAGACGATCCCTGAGATCTGGGTGAAGCTGTTAGTGTCCCTGCTCCTGGCACAGTCCCATTGGCTGGTTTCTGGCCATATGAAGCACCATCTCCCCCCCACTCAGGCTCTTATTCACTGACCCATATGGCCCCTGCAGCCTGTGTGGGGGCAGGGCAGGCTGCCTGAGAAATGTGCTGGGCTGCTGGCCGGGAGTGAGCCAGGTAAGTCTCCCAGCCAGAGCCTGCCTCTGGCACCCCAGCC